CACGACACACACACACACACACACACACACACACACACACACACACACACACACACACACACACACACACACACATATATATATATATATATATATATATATATATATATAATGAATATAATATAAAATAAGGAAAACAAAACTAAATCGCGCAAATATGTAGCTGTTTTTTCTTGAATAATACGAGATGTCCTTCTATTCCACATGTGATTGTTTCCTTGAAACCTTAAAAAATGCTTTCGTAACTTTTTAATGATATGTCAAATTAAACCTTCGACCTCTTCTCTGGCATAGGATACCATCCTGCAAATTCACCTACACTCCCACAAAACATACGCGCCCTAGTTTTGGAAAACGCACATGGTGTTACTGTTCAAGTACACCTTCGCGTTTCACTCAGCTGCAAGATTTGTGCCGTCATGTGATAGATGTAGTGGGCGCGCTAAATACAGATCACGGTGACCGAATCGTGAACTCCACCCATGTTGTTGCTACAACGCCAGTTGTAAGATCCAGATATGAATAATAATAATGCGTACGGGTATTCGTCAATTTTGCATTCCATGCACATGAGATTCATAAGCTGCATGGGCATTCTTTCACCCATATGCACCCATCTATATCGTGTAGGTGAGAGCTAGACGAAATAACATTTCTGGGAGTGCAAAATATGTCGACTATAGTTCAATTACAAAGTCAATTAGATTTTACACACATCGTGATGTTTTTTGTTACTTGTCTTTAGTTATGTTACTGCTAGATGTCGCTACGCGTCACTAGTTGCAGTGATATAGAGATCAGTGATAGTAGCATATTTTTTATCCACTGTTGGGGTTAAACGGAGCTCGACCGATGGCATGAATCCAAATTGTGTGATCTCCGCAATCCTTTAAAAATGCATTTTAAACTTTTACGCAATTTCACATCATATACTATATTACTTAGCTACTTGTTATACGCAGGCATTGCTGTCCTCGTCATTGTGACATACGTAAGAAACAATGGACAAGAATATGATTCATGTGGTCACCATAACGACGTACGTTCTATTCTTGTTCGGACATCAAGAAACGGTGTGGCCACAGAATTCCTAAACAAATGTTGATTTACGCTATATCTACGTGTGTGAAACTCAGTACAGCTATAGGAGCTAGATCAAGCTTGGTATCGGCTTGATTATTGTGTGCTTGGTGGATACACAAGCAGATTTTGCCCATGACTCAGCAACGTCGTCGCGTTCGACCTCTCTCGCGGGCGAACAAAGTCCCAGGCGTATGCTCACACAAATGATTAATCCAGTACTTGATAAGGGACTCGGATCTGTTTGACTAGAACAATGCTCCACCGATAACTCGATTTATCGCGGACAGAAATCGCACGTCCACGCATATCAATGCTGGTGTATGACCGCAGTGGATCGATTTGCTTGCTCATTGCTGGTGCATGCGTACCTGTTGCCGACCGACGAGCAGAAATTATTACACTTATGACTTAATTTAATTACAGCGTTAAAATAGTAATGTGGAATAACGGGTTTGATGATGATACGCCGCTAGGAGCGCACATATCGGGTTGAGCGAGTATTCTGGCAGCAGTTCAAATTCCATATTCTATTTTTTGCAACGCGTCGAGGCCACGGGCCGATATAGTATCGGGCATGCGCTGTGTGAGATCATACCATGTTAAGTGACCTAAATCATGCGCTTCGTTACCACGCGAGCCTAGCAAGCTGAATTCTCACAATATCTCGCCTTCTGCATGTGTACGTGTGACAAATCCAACCTGTGATATATGTATATATATGTATAGCTGCGTTCACACGTATACACGGCTTATCTGGTATCGTACTTAGTTGGTGCTAAGTCCGGTTAAAATGCGTTCACACGAGATACACGAGATTCGAGGCTTAGCTAGCTCGGTATAATATAGACTGGTACCCGGTCGACAGTTCCACACGCTACCCTAACGTCGTGCAGCGAACGGGTAGCAGTCTAGGTTCATACGACAATCAATACGCGGCCAGCGTGGTGCCGAATATACGCGGCTTAGTTGGCGCGGTATATGATTCCGCGCTAAGCAAGCCGGAGCAATCGCGGCTAAGCAAGCCGTGGCTAAGCAAGCCGTGGCTAAGCAAGCCGCGTATATTTTAGCGTGTGAACGCAACTAAACTCCTCGTGTTCACGCAGCATATATGAATATTACACCCATGTATACGCGCGATGTTTCGATGTGGTTGCGAACGTTCACTAGCTTAGTCAGACTGACAGCCTAATACGACGATGTTTTATTTTCCGCCAGCATATCTCAACAAGAAAGGACAAGATCAACACGCGCTGACTGCAAGTGCATAAATTTCGAAATACATGCACAATTAGCGTTTTGCAGATAACGTGTATTTAAAGAGAGTCACTATCTGGCCCGGCAAGCCAGTGCGTATCGATCGTGCGACGGATGTGCGATAGGTCACTGATTTTTTCTCCGTGGTGCGGCGTACTGCCTCGAAACGCGTGAACAGTGTACGATTGAGCATGGCAGCGCCAACAAGCTACGACTCGGCTTCCTCTCCGTCCAGGCTCTCCGCGGACGTCGTGATTCATACTACGGAGATGCACACCGGCGGAGAGCCGCTGCGCATCATCGATAGCGGCTACCCGACCCTAGTCGGTGACACCATCCTCGATAAGCTTCGAGACGCCCGCCAGAATTACGATCAGTTTCGCACATTTTTTATGAGCGAGCCTCGAGGACACCGTGACATGTACGGTGCCATTTTGGTCGAGCCGGACGCGCCTGGAGCAGATCTTGCAGTCTTGTTCACCCAAAACGAGGGCTACGGCACGATGTGCGGACATGCCGTTATCGCGTTGTCCAGATACGCGGTTGATAGAGGAATCGTGAAGCCAATGACGCCAGAAACACAGGTGAGACATATATTCACTCTGTATGATGCTGCCAGTCTTAACGATATTCAGTAGAAATTCACATACCTGTTAGATATAGCCCTTTACGTTAATTCGGAAGTTCTATTCTACATCATATGAATATGAATATAATATACAGATGGTATTCTATCATTCACATAGGGTCATTCATACCTACCCATGTACGCCAGCACGCTCGAGCACACAACCACATATTTACAAACGCACACATACATATAGTCAAGATATATAGTCATTAGAAGGCGTGATTTTACAGGTAAACATTCAATGTCCGTGTGGCATGGTGCGGGCTTACGTCTCGTGTGATGAGAATGGTAAAACCGGAGCCGTGCGATTCCATAGTGTCCCCGCCTTTCTTTTTGCAGAAGGTATGTGAATACTTCCAAATATTAAATCCTAGCTAGTTAATACGTACGGGCAGTTTTCGCCCCTGCTGTTAAATGTACGTATTAACACTTCCACGTGTGCTATACCTGTCGATTTTTACGTGTACAGATATCGAAGTGGATGTCGAAGGACTCGGCAAACTCCGTGTCGACATCAGCTACGGCGGTGCCTTTTATGCGTTCCTAGATGCTGCTAAGATAGGACTGGATGTAAGAACATCGAAAGCTCGAGATATTGTTGCTGCCGGGGCCCAAATAACAGGCAAGTATACCAGCTGTGTGAACTAGCCATGACCTACATAATATCAAGAGCTAATAATACCTCTTATTATTAGCTCTTGATAATATCTATATGCGCGCGGCCTACCTTTTTAACTTGTTTTTTTTTCAAATTCTATACTTACGCTTTAGTTAAATTAGGACTCTCGTAGCTACATAGCCAGCGGAAATAAACAAAACTCTGCAGTTGACCATACGGGTATCTGGTAAGAGTGGCGCCGTATATTGCATCTGCTGCACCTGCTGCTGATCATTTCTGGTTACTCTGGTTTTCTCTAAAGAAAGTGTTGAATTGCACAATACTGCGAATGCCAACGCTTTTAAAAATTTCTTCACACAGGTGCTCTTAAAGCTAAAATAAAGCTTCATCATCCAGACAGTAATGACTTAGCATTCCTGTCCGGAACCATCTTAACAGATGGAAATGATCCATTCCCCAATAAACCGGCGGCCCAAGTCCTGGTGTTTGCAGACAGTCAGGTACGTTTTCTTTGTCTGATTAGTATATTAGTCTTCATTTGTGTCACATGAAGACTAATCCTACAATGATCTTTATTTTCTGTGCTGGCGTTTGAAGTCACAGCATTGTCGGCGTGCTGCGCGACGTCTTTAGGGAAGCTAGCTGTACACTGAGGCAGCACGGGTTTTCTGAACCTTACAGCAGTTTGCCTGTATCTGACCTATGTGAGGACGTACAAGTGGAGTAATTGTTCTCTGTAGCATCTATACTCTTATATGCATGTTGACAAAAAATCGTTAAGTGACTGATAGTATTATATTGAGGGAAAATGCGTGTATGTGTGCTATGTAACTGACTCTTACATAGTGACGCTGCACCTTGAGTATGACTGCATCGATAAAATACAATCAATGTGTGCAAGCAATGTGTGCCCGACTATTACAATTTATTGCATATTTTCTTTGACTGATAATTATCATATTGCGTATATTGAAATTTGAATATTTGATTACTGTGAATTCTGCATTGTAAGTTCAAATACAAGATGCACCAGTTGGAGCTTTAGTATTGGGAAATCAAGAAGGTTTATGCGAGACTAGCCGATTATTTTGCTAAATTGTGATGGCATTTGAACGGCAGGCACGCATATAATGCTCATGGAGATAGAGAATTGCTCAGATATTTGTCTAGACGATGCGAAGTAGGACTTCACGCAAGTACCATCCGAGTTTGTGAACAATGACAAAACAAAAGAATGCCAGTAAGCTTAGGTGTTTAGGCTTCAAAAAAGAATATGCTTGGACTAGAGGAAGGCGTACGCTTTCATTTGCATGTGTTTTGACATTATTTTTACATTTACAACATTGCACTCAATTTCGTCGCCACAAATTTATAGTCCGTGACGTTGTTTATTTCTTTTATTTAGCTTGACCGATGTCCATGTGGCTCTGGCGTGACAGCTCGAGTTGCTCTGCAATACAAGAAGGGTTTTATGCACCTGGGACAACGCCGCATATATGAGTCAGGCACCACTAAAACCAAGTTTACAGGAACGGCAATTGCAGAGACAACGGCAGGGGAGGTCGATGCAGTGGTAGTGGAAGTGCGTGGAAGAGCGCATTACTGTGGCTCCAATGTCTTTACCTTAGAGGAAGACGATATTCTGAAAGCGGGATTCCTGCTGCATTAATGGGAAACAATTAATCTGTCTTAAATCATAGACATGATCATTTATAGTGTCTTAGAAGCAATACTACGATGGATAATTATTATGTAAAGTGTCAAATGTAAAATAATGATATAACAATGTATAAATTAAGATGATTTTAAATTATAAAAAATAATAATTCCATGGCTATTCATTCATCTTTTTCATATTAGATTCTCCGTATAGACTTTATCAACGCAAACACACAGTGTGGAAGGCCGTCGGTTGCGTTACATAATGTTAGAGTCTGTAGAAAGTACACTGTCGATTAGCTACTGCCGTTGGGCTGATTTGGCCGGTACTCACCTTGAAGACGCGATCGATGAACAACTACCTATATATAAAACACTCCAGGGTCACTCCCACAAAACGCATCTCGGCTAGGCCCTCCGAGGCAGAACCACCACAAAACTTTCGGTTTCACCACAAATAATCAATTCAGTGACAGTGCTCATGACCGTGACAACAGCCTACCGTTTGTTCCGCGTTAGTATAGAATGGTTATAGCGGCCGGGTCAATTCTCACTTTCTCGCGTAAAAAATATGCGATTTCCCAGTTCCCGAAAAACTACGTGAACATTTACCGGATAATTAATTATATATACAGTTAAAACACGATGTACTATAGTGTCTAGATCATTATCACATATATGAACTGGCCATTCTGGACGAAATAGCTGTGCTTCTCACTGTTTTGCCCCCAAAAAAATTCATGGCTGTCTTCGCGTGTTTTGACTTCTACGGATTACACGAATCCAATAAAATTAAAATGCTCCATATCCCACGTTCCCAAAATAACTTCCCCACCAGTACATGTCAACAAAAACGTCTTGCACTCAGTGCGCGTTCGAACATTTGGAACTGCAAATATACGACAGAAGCATTCACACTATCCGGTCAGTAGGGCAGTGCGTAACATATTTTTGGTGCTGGGAACGAGGCGCGAGACGCGTCTACAGTACAATATTCAAAATGGCCGCGCCAACAAGCTACGACTCGGCTTCCTCTCCGTCCAGGCTCTCCGCGGACGTCGTGATTCATACTACGGAGATGCACACCGGCGGAGAGCCGCTGCGCATCATCGATAGCGGCTACCCGACCCTAGTCGGTGACACCATCCTCGAGAAGCGTAGATACGCCCGCCAGAATCACGATCAGTTTCGTACCTTCCTTATGCACGAACCCAGAGGACATTACGACATGTACGGCGCCATCTTGGTCGAGCCAGACGCACCTGAAGCGCACATGGCGGCTTTATTTACGCACAACGAGGGCTACAGTACGATGTGCGGGCATGCCGTTATCGCATTGGGCAGATATGCAGTTGATAGAGAAATCGTGAAGCCATCGATTCCAGAAGCACAGGTGACACATATTCGCTCTGAATAATGTCGTTAATCTCAACGATATACCGTAGATTTACGATATGATATGATACGATGCGATATGATATTGTAGACACGAGGTTTGCGTTAATTAAATCAGTAATCATTTTATAAACTCCGTTCAATTACCGGCACAGCAGATTGGGTCTTGTAAACGAGGATAGATTGACGAGTCGCATGGGATGTGTGAAATGGAGTCTACGGCAGTTTCGCTGAAGCAAGGCGGCTGCTAATGTTGTTGGTTGTGCGTGGGTGTGGCAAGATTGTTGTACACACAGTTGGCACGATTGAGAGGCGACTCGGGTTCCGGTTCTCCCCGGGAGGAGAGATTCGACAATAGAAGAGAGACTCGTTATAGACGAGCGAACGTAGCCACCCTTGTTAGGAATGGGGCGATCGGTTGCTCGTATAGACTGACCGTGTGCATAGCGTGTACACAGCAATCTAAATCGACATCTGCTGGTTAAGTTTCGGGTCCAGGGATCGTTCCTTGTTTGGCCGGAAGATTCTGCAGTTGCTAATTTAAGCGTGTATTTATAAGACGGTCCGGACGAGCACAGTCAGTTGTGTGTTTGAGTTTGCGTGCTAACATCGTCAGTGCTTGCGTCGTACGTTGTTACCAGTTGTAAGTATGTAAGTCTTCTTAACTATGGCTTGAGGTTTCTTCTTCTTCTTATGCACATAGAGCTATATGCCACTATAGACGTATCACTCTTGTATTCTTATTTGTTCTTCGTAGTGAGCTATCTTTTAGTACGTGCGTTAACTGCCTATATTTCTAAACGTAGTATCTTTAGCTGTGTAAATTGCACTCGCACTGTGTATGATTCTTCTGCACCTCTTTGTGTACTTCGTACGTATATTATTCTATTAACTGCAGGAGCTGTCCTGAATAAATCTATTCTTGTGGCACTGTCTACACGTCTTCTCTTGTGAATATAAGTGTTAACATTTCTATACACTTCTCGTAAGACCGGAGTAACACCGTCTACAATATGATGAGAAAACGTGTTTTTACAGGTCAACATTCAGTGTCCGTGCGGTGTGGTGCGGGCTTACGTCTCGTGTGATAAGAATGGTAAAACCGGGGCCGTACGATTTCACAGTGTTCCCGCCTTTCTTTTTGCAGAAGGTAAGTAAATATCTTGCTCATCTAGTTAGACAGGGGCGTAGCCAGCCTTTCCAAGAGGTGGGATTCCTTCCAAGAGGGAAGATTCCAAACCTACTATATACTAATAAAACTTCGTTAAAATTTTCGTTTCATGCTTTTATATAAATACTGTATCTGACTGTATCAGATATGTGCTATTTTGAGACAAACCAGGGGGGATTCCGGAATGCCTGGAATCACCCCTGGCTACGCTCCTGTTAGAGCGGGCGAGCAGTTCCTACAAAAGGCCATGCTGCTAGCCTTGATCCTCGTCTTTGTCGTGTGTAAAAACTACCAGAGTAATTTTAGGAATCGGTAGGCGGTGAATTGTTCAAGGTTGCGAGCGCCAAGGGGAACACAATACCCCCGTCAGACTAGACGGCGACCATCAGAAACTATACAAGGTCGCCGGCAAACGTGAACACAACGCGAGAAAAAGTCCCAACAAATTACAAAATTGAAAAAAAGCCGCGACCTGTGCGATCATACCGCGTTCTCACGGCGCGCCCGCCACGACCTCTCCGCGCTTATGGCGTTTCTATTGAGATCTATGGGCTTGGCAACGGCGATCACCGGCGTTCCCGCGACGCTCTCACCACGCTCATGGGGTTCTTACCACGCGTCTTCTACGTGTATCGCGACTGCACGGCGACCTCACGGCGTTTCTAACACGTTCTCACGGCGACTATATAAGCTCGTTAGATTTTCGGAAATTTCAACTGTATAGTTGTGCGTTTGCTGAGTAGAAACACGATGCCGAAGAAACAAACTACCATAGGCCGAGGCCGTGGCCGTGGCCAAGACAGATCGGCAGATCGGATGAGACAGATTCATGAAGTCGCCGTTGCGAATGTTAACATTTTCGCAGCGTCTTTGCCACGCGTGTACTGCGCGTGTACTACGTTCATGAAGATGTTACGACGCTTGTCTCACGACCTTCGCGACCCTACCGCGTTCTCACCGCGTTCCAGGTCAGATCGCCGAACCTTGGCGTTTGTTTTGAACATGCTCAAAACAAACGCCGTGACTCGGCGATCATTGGCGACTATGGCGACCACAGCACGATGTCTGGCGTTTCCACCACGCTTATACCACGCTTATGGCGACCTTGGCGCGCTCTGGGCCCATTTTCCGTCGCCGTAGCAGCTCACACTACCTTGACCTACCTTAATGTCGCTGTTTTTTGTGTTGGTGGTTCACGCTTGATATATCTGCCTATTTTTACGTGTACAGATATGGAAGTGGATGTCGAAGGACTCGGCAAACTCCGTGTCGACATCAGCTACGGCGGTGCCTTTTATGCGTTTCTAGATGCTGCTAAGATTGGATTGGATGTAAGAACATCGAGCACTCGGGATATTGTTGCTGCCGGGGCCAAGATAACAGGCATGACTTTTAATGGTTTAGTATAATTTAGCACAATATAAGGGAATTACCGATACTCTACCATACAGCATTACTTTTTATTATATTAGGGGTTATTTAGACTGCATATAAGCGAGAAATAACTAGAACTTTGCAATTCAAAAAAGCTTGCATTACAAACTTGACGGTATTTGGAATGTGAGACGCCATTTCATGTGTTGCCTCTATTGGCGATGATTTCTGTGTTTTCTAGTTTTTCGCGGAACATACTGTTGATATCTATACGTCAGTGTGTTCCTGTTTCTCATATTGTAGATGGTAACGCATTTCAAATTTCCGTCAAATAGATGCTGTTAAAACACAGATAAAGCTTCATCATCCAGACAGTGACGACTTAGCATTCCTATACGGAACCATCTTAACAGATGGAAATGACCAGTTCACTGATGAACCTACGGCCAATGTCTGCGTGTTTGCAGACAGTCAGGTACGTTTTCTTGTTAAGTATTTCACCGATATTCCAATATTTGGATAAATACGAGTAGCGTATTATAGGGTATTTGTTAGTTAAATAGTATTGTACATTCTAGAAGCAATTATCGTATAGAATAAAAAAAAAGGTATACGTGAGCCTCACCGTGCTAAAAGTGCTGACCTGCGTGTGACACCATAGCAGCGACCAACAGCAAGTGAGCTCACTTTGTAGGCGAATAATCGCAAATACGGTCACCTTAGTGCAAAAAGCACCAAGATACCTCAATACATTTTTTTTTGTATTTATTCGTCATTGTCTGTTTACACAGACTTTAGCATAGATTGCAGTTTTGCTTTACTTACTTTCACGTGCCTCTATCTGCGGTTATTCGCTTGCAACATAAGCACTCTGCGTGCCGTAGATAGCAATGTCGCTGCTTTTACCGCTTGAAAGGCTCACAATGCGCATCCAAACGCTAATTTCTCCAGTACTAGACAAGCAAGTACTTGGTCGATGATAATCCCACTACCCTTATGCACCAAAATAAACTCTAGTTGCTCCCATTTCAACTGCGCGTTGCTTAAACCCACAAGAAAGAGGTGAGAAAACTGGCATTCTGGCGCAAAGCGCCGACTGTTTGCCAAAACAAAATAGCCTCGAAGTGGTGACGCTGACGTCACATGCTTTTTATCTTGCTGCGGCCCGTACCGCTGTACCGCAGCACCGCTGCACGGTTGCTTGGGGATTGGGGAAACTGTCAACAACATCGCGAGAATTCAACAACATTGGAGGTATTTTCAAAATACCTTTTATAAGACAAGCTGACAGTGAAATGGGAGGAACTAGAGTTTATTTTGTCATAAGGTAGTGTGATTATGCATGCCACGAAGTATTTGCTAGTCTAGTACTGGAGTAATTAGCGTTTGGGTGCGCATTGTGAGCCTTTAATTGATTTCATCGCCGTTGTGATGAATAGCGTATAGTGCTTGTGGAAGCAGCTCTCTCACAACCAGTATAAAACTTTTAATTAGCATATCACTAGCGCTGAATTGTTTTTTTAAATATATACTGAAGTTCTAAAATGGAGGATTAAACAATTAGGGTGAATATTCAGAGAAAAGCACATACGCGCGCACGCACAATTAAACACGTGTAGCGATGAAAATCCACGCGAGTGAAAGTTAATTTCGGACGCTCGGGTCGGAACCGATACGAAGAGCGTCCTAATGCACATTGAATAATTGACACCAGCCAACTGGTATCAGTAGCCAACTGGTATTGTTAACTTTTGAGAAGACATACGGTGTAATCAGGTAGATGGCCGATGGAATCATTAGTCGAGATAACTATAAGTAGCCAGTGCCTCTAGAGAATAGAAGCAATACAACGCATACAGAAAAGAAGGAAGCCAGGAGTATTGGCAGCGAGCCAGTGTCGAGAAAGTTGGGTTTGGACACGTTCCAAACGGACGTAAGAGTGACCACGATCACTTGACCGATCGATGTTTGAAGACCAACCAATAGGACAGATTGGCGAGAGGGCCGGCGTGTGAGGGAGAACACGTGTCCACCGAAAAGCCACGCCCGATATTATATATAAGGGAGAAGCCGGAGAGGAGAAAATGGGGGTGGATAGAAGCGATGTAGGCGAGGGGAGAAACGAGAGTGATTAGAGATACGACTGACGATTGTCACTGTGCTGTGGATCGAATAAAACGACATTATCCTGTGAAGCCTGTTGTTCGCCGTTTTCGATACGTGTCATTTCTCCAACATTATACATTTGGCGCCTAAGAATAAAAGATAAGGCTTCTTCGCCTTTTACAAGAAAGTGTACATTTCCCTCGATACACACGCGTGTGTGTGTCTCTGTGTGTGCGTGCCTGCGTTCGTACCTGTGCGTGCGCGCGTGTGTGTATGTGTGTCTAACTATATATACATATATATATATCAGGAGTTAATAATGGAAAATTGTTAATTTGTCATCATTAACGCTGCCAGGGTCTATGTCTCCCTGGGTACTGCCGGAACGTACCCTGGTACTATCTAATATGCCGGATCGTACCTCGCCTACTCCACTAACGAGTCTAGGGAGTCGCCTACGCCTACTCCCTAACCCTAACCATATCAGATAGTTACCAGGGTACTTTCCGGTATACCGGACCGTACCCAGGGAGACATTGTTGGTGAACCCAGGGGGACCTTATCTGCATTATTAACCCCTGATATATATATATATATATATATATATATATATATATATATATATATATATATATTATATTCGTGATGTCTGTCGCTCTTGTGTGGCAACGTTGCGTTGTGTTTTATGTGGAGGAGCAAAAATTATCTTCATACGTATGTAGTTTCACATATCCGAAAAAATCACACATCTAATCCATACATCAACATATCCATATTATTAATTTACTGATGATTGTGACACGCGTAAGAAACAATGGACACGAAAATGATCCCAGCGAACACGTTCTATTTGGGATCGGACGGCCGCCTGTTGTGTAATACTCAACTTAGCGATGGGAGGCAAGCTTGGAAGATGCAGTGATAGGTTGTTTCGTTCTTGCGAGGGACAGTCAACGGCAGATAGCGACGAGGACGCGTGGTTCCTTTGTCGCAGGCGCGGCATTCGTAGGGGAATGCAATGTTCTTTCGCGGACGTCATCGATGACAACAGTAGTGATGTTGGGACCAATGATTCTCTAACGATGCATGACGTCATAGTCCGCAACAATGTTTTAGCATGCGAGAGTATGCTGCAGGACGGCTTTGATGCCAATTCATTTTTTGTTTACTACCGATCTCGTCTGAACAAAGGTGGAGCTGCCGACGCATTAGAAAATGAAACCGGTAGGATGATTTCTGTATGCTTATACCTATACACCCTTCTTAAATAGACAGATTTTTGTATGCTTATATCTATATATCCCTACTTATATAGACAGATTTTTGTATGCTTATACGTACTCCCTACTTATATAGACAGATTTTTGTATGCTTATACGTACTCCTTACTTATATAGACAGATTTTTGCATGCTTATACCTACTCCCTACTTATATAGACAGATTTTTGTATGCTTATACGTACTCCCTACTTATATAGACAGATTTTTGCATGCTTATACCTACTCCCTACTTATATAGCCGGCCAGTTTCAATCAACATCGTGATCGCCTATAATAATAATATTATTATTATTGTTATTATTATTATTATTATTATTATCATCGTTATAATCATCATCATGATTATTACCTGGGTACTCGTACGTATCAGTACTACCGACTGGGTTAGTTGGCGATGTAGCGCGACATCCTTACACCCTGTGACGAGATTACCCCCTATGTGACTGTATTGGCGTGTCCAGCATGCCGTATGGCGCGATTGGTTGGCGCGTTGGAATTTGACCTTTATCTGCTCATTCAAATGTAAACTTGCCACGGAAGGCAATTAAGGAGCTCACTCTACATCGATATTCGTATACGTCACTGTGAGTAACGTAAAATCCTTGTTGACCCTAATTACCTCCAGATGCTTTAAACTCACGAAACTACAATTTTGAGATCTATATACACACAATACCTAGTTTTTAAACGAACATGTTATATATCAATGGAAATTGCTATATATCAACGGAAATGTCGAAAGTAAGACTATATACTGTACCCGATAACCGCTATTTTCGTTGACCTGTGAAAGAACTGATAAACTTGAGTGCTGCTCGGGCTTACTTGCCTAATTGACCTGCTACGGGTTATATTAATTATTACGGTTGCTATTATTATTATTGTTGTTCTTATTCTTATTCTCATTCTCTTCTTCTTCTTCTTCCTCTTCTTCTACTTATTGTTATTATTATTATTGTTCTTCTTGTTGTTGTTCTTGTTCTTCTTGTTCTTGTTGTTGTTGTTGTTGTTGTTCTTCTTCTTCTTCTTCTTCTTCTTCTTCTTCTTCTTCTTCTTCTTCTTCTTCTTCTTCTTCTTCTTCTTCTTCTTATTATTATTATTGTAATATAGAATAGAGTTTGTGTAGAATGTCATGACGCCAACGAATGACAAGAACACAAGAAAACATACACATTTTTATGCTGTTTATTGAACCCTCTCATTCAAGAACACAAAGGTAAACAAAATATAGTCAAACTCAAACATATTCGTTGATTTCTAGTTTACAAATCCGCAATTCTGTAATTACAATTACACGTTACCGTACAGAAACACCACGTTTAAAAAACCGTCGTCGTGGGCATTGATTCTTTAGTGGAGTCGGCACAAATCCCAACACGTGAGCTGGTGGCCAAGCCTTTGCACGTAGCCTGTATGTACCGAAGGCCTATGATAATCGAGCTCCTTCTCGCCTACGGGGCCAATCCAAACGCACAAGACAAATTTCAGGTATTTTTTAGAATATCGGTGAAAATACCGCCTCAACCTATATTTATGCGTATAATATTTATATTTATATTATATTTATATATTTATGCGTATAATATTTATATTTATATAATATTTATATTAAGATTTATTCTAGAGTACTTGCTTACTGGATTGCGCCTACAATGTTCAGTTATACAATTACGGCATATAGCATGATCGCGTAATATATCTAGAAGAAAGGCAAGTGAAACGAGGAAACGAATGAACATTACAGTCACTTTTAATAAAGATGAACTATCACGATACTGTCCCTAAATTACACCGCATGCAATATTTTCAGCGCACACCAATACAGCTGGTGATGATGTATTGGCCTCGCTACTTCGTTCACAATACACACCGCTACATGGACATGAGCAAAGAAGAGCAGCGCTACAACGAGTATCTCGCCCGGATGCACGAGAAAAGCAGAGTTTGTCTTGAACTGCTGTGCAGGCACGGAGCAGATATCGTCTTTCCACTTAACGACCGCGGGTTGACCGCCCTGCACCTCGCCGCAAGGTTCATCTGCTATTTAATATATAATCGCTTGCACCGGCTGGAATGCCTTATTTTCTAAGCTTGTATTTTTGCTTAATCGTGTTTCACGAAAACACAATATTTATTACACCGCCGTTCCATGTTATCTATTGTTTTACGCACCATGCGTGCAAAATAATGCCAAACCACAACACTCGCTCTTATATGTTTAAACGCTTGACGTTCTCAGATACTGTCTTGACAAAAGCATAGACACATTCGCTGCACATAGAGCAAACCTGAACGTGCGCGATGCTCAGGGTAAGACGCCGATGCTGGTCGCCGCCGAGTACGGAAACTTTACGTTCGTCAGCGCCCTCCTGCGGCGGGGAATCGCCGTAAATCAGGCAGACGACTGCGGTCAGACGGTGCTGCATCACGCATGCGCAACGCAGCAGAGCATCGCGACGATCGCGGAGCTAATAGAGTGCGGGGCCGGTGTCAACGCGCAGGACAGCAACTACGGCGACACGCCGCTGCACACGGCCGCCTATCTCGGTTACGAGGGTCCGATCGGTCTGCTGCTACGCTACGGCGCTGACCCGGACGCGCGTAATCTCTACGGACAGTCGGCGACGTACGCGTTTCTGGACAACGCGGCGAACAGTCGTAAGATCTACGGACTCGAGCGCCTCCTCAACGAGACCGTACAGCTCTGCCTGAGAGATTCCTCGGGCAGGCCGCCTCGCCTGGCCGCAGAAGGTGACTGGCAGTTCCGTGAGATACTGACAGATGTCGCCACCCGACCTGCGCCATTGCATCGCCTGTGCCGGCAGACGCTGCGGAAGTGTATCGGACCGAAGAATGTTAACGAGGCGACAGTCGCCATGCTGACGTCACCTCGGCGTCATCAAGAATACGTGTTCTACGCGAGCGACTGGACGGGGCTGTTCACAGCGTTCGGCGAAAGAACGATGACAAGGACGGAATGCTCGCTGTAGAGTCACTGCTATGAAAAAGACTGCCTGACAAAGACAGACAAAGACGGTGCTACATTGCACCGATTATATTACCCGTGTGACAATCGAATGACATTTTTTGTCATTGCCGTCACATGCGTGCGATGTTGCGAGTGAATAAAATGTGTTGTACAGCGAACATTTTATCATGCTGTTGTGTATGCCGGGTAGAGTTGGTCGTGTTCGATCGCGATTCCTCAATTATCTCACCACAATCCGCAGATATCGCGGCAGCAAAAATATCACTTTGTTGTCGAGCAACGAGTAAAAGATAATTCAATCACATAAAAACCACGGAATAGATTGCGTTACGCATATCGAAAGCTAATAAATCGCATACAATATATATATAGGCCTATATATATATATCTATTTATATCAAGAGTAGATAATATAACAAGTTATATTATCTACTCTTGATTTATATAATATATATATTATATATTTATTTATTTATTTATTTACTTATTTATTTAAACACGCGCACCCACTAACTGCACATGCGCGCGTGGGCACGTGCGCCTGTGTGCGTACGCATATATTTGTACTGTATGAATAAAAGTTGTAATAAATGAAGGATCTTGGGCCAATAATATATGTCGACGTAAACCTAGCCCGTGGCGCTGTTTTTGTCTGATTCAGGTTGATCGATGTCCAACTGGCTCGGGGGTGACAGCTCGAATTGCTCTGCAATACAAGAAAGGCTTATTGCAGTTGGGACAACGTCGCGTATTTCAGTCAGGCATCACTAAATCTACGTTCACTGGAAAGGTCATTGCAGAAGCAAAGGCAGGTGAGGTCGACGCAGTGGTGGTGGAAGTATGTGGAAGGGCGCACTACTGTGGCTCCAACGTCTTTACTTTCGAGGAAGACGATAATATGAAAACGGGATTCCTGCTACGTTAAGGAAAATCTCATCTGCCTTAAATGATACGCAATGTCATGAGAGCTGGATTATGAAAAAACACTGCAAATATTTCTCATAGTTTACTTGTGCGGTTGTTTGCCTGCCGCAACAACGCCAACCGCTGGTTTTAACCTACCGCAAACAAAGTATGTTATGTTGCTTGAAAAAAACATTGGGATACTGAATAAATTAACATGAATTAAAAACACACAAAAACAATAACCACCTGGCGTTCCGTTCACTTTCTTTAGTAGATTTAATCACATACATATAATTTCTTATCGTATGTATTTATACCATAGAGTGTGGAAGGCCATCGCATACAAAATTAGAATCTTCAGCGAATAAATCGGGAGTGATTGACGTTACCAGCATTTAGGAAAGGTCACACGAACGCGTGACTTCTATCCGGTTATTATGGTGTATCACATTCTTATCAACAGGCTACTAATTGGGCTGACATATATAGAGAATTACTTACATGTATACAAATGATCGAGGACTGCCATGGATCATTACTACGATACAATTCGGTATAGAATAGGGTTTACAAAACTGTTACAAGATGGCGTCAATTACCTAATATCAATGAGCTTAATTTTAGGCAAATTCATGGTGATCCAACACGCAAAATATAGTCATTTACTATGTATTTGAAAACGTAATTAAAACAAATCAGACACACCTGGTCATAACAATCCAGTGTGACTGTTACCAAATATTATTCTGCAAAGTTTCATAAGACACATAAACACATAATACACGACGAATTGAAACGAAAATTAAACTTAACGGTGACTAACACAAACGAAACACAAATATCTGTAAAAATATAAATTAAAAGCTCATGTCATAAAGTCACCCTTGGTGACATAGAGGCACATTACACCTAACTATAGTACATTAAGCTCTATATGCTCTGCATCTATGAATCAGATTATATTTGAGTTGGTATATTATTCAGATTTGCATAACACTAATTTAACGGTCAGTGCTATGGTTGTTTCGGACTGTGTCCCAGCGTGTGATTCAATGATATAAACAAATACGGCAATTCCATTTAAATAAACACTCGACGTTGCACAGAACAATGAAATGTTATTAAAACATTCACGCTGTCGATTTTATCCATAAAAATATGCTTTTTAACTAATTTGAACCATACCAATCTCACGGTGAATATAGTGTAGTGAAACAATGACTTTATCACGTTCTTTTAAATGATGTAATATAACAATGATTTGTATAATACTGGGAGCGTGTTCCAGCCACGCCCTGGCCTGGAGTATATATATTTTTGCCCTTAATCTTTATCATTACATTTCAACATGGCGCTGGCATTTGGAATTCCAATTAATTATGCGCTTGCTGTTCAGTCAGCGTTTACATCAGCCAACATTAGTTTAATTGTTCAGATTCCAACGCTTGCTTCTTCATCCGATACAAGCTTTTATCCGTCATGCCGCAGGATGCAGCTGTAGGTTTAGTGATCACGTAAACCTAACTAACCATCGACATGCGTGGTGTGCAGCAGCAGGAGAACACGGTGTGTTCCACGCTGCTAATACCTTCAGCGAGCAGCTTCCCATCTGATCTAACCAATGTAGACCAAGTGATGGACTACAGACTCTTGCTTTCGTTTGCGGCATGAGCATAGTGTGATTGGTATACGCTGGGCGCCTGAGCTAGACGAAGAATCACATGTTCATTTGAGATTGGAGTCGACATTTAGCCAACACGGTTAAACATCATCACACACTAGAAGAAGGCACAGTCACAATTATCACATCCATGCGTCGATCTCACAAGTCGTAAACGAACGAGAGATCATGAGGCTCCAAGATCTCCCTGTTCAATCTGTCCACTTCCTCGCTTTGCACCTGTGTGTAGTGGTTTCTCCAGTCTCCTACTTTGCCTGTCGCGAAAATGCAGTTGAGATATCATATACCCTATTTGCTCAAACAGAATACGTTTATATATTTTATATATATATACGAGTGTAAATATCGTGCCTAATCGTTTCTAGGAATACCCACCTACTTGGACACATGTTCATTATTCATACCAATACTCTCATTGACCTCTTCTACTCGCTGCATCGGGATGTGTCAAACCGTTCATCCCAAGTACAGAATCTCTCTACCAGGCCCGCGAGAGAACGTTACAGTGTTTACTTTAAATGTCAGTCAGCGCCTCAAAGAAAGACGACGTTTCTTGCAGCCTCGCGTAAACAAATTCTAGCAGCTGATGTCGGTAGCAGAAAACGGAGTTCAGCGTTCAGCGCGGCGCGATGACTGCTATTATAATAATGGCCGTGGCTACGCGTCCGGTTCCCTGACGCCCAGCTCCCAGGCTACGCGTCCGGTCTTATATTTCTTATGTGAACCCAACCATATTTTTTTAGTAAAAAAACAATAAACAATAAGTTTTTCCTATAATAATACTTATCTTTAGGTATTTTATCAAAAAATGTGTTTTTGTAACCTTTGAAGCAATAGCAAATCCAGTAAAATCAACGACTTGAAAGGGGGCGTGGCCTAATCATGACGTGGATTTGGGAGTCTGTGCTGAGCATTGTAATGGATGACCAGACGCGTAGCCACTGCGTATAACAATTATCATCTTATTACGATATTACTCCGTGTGCTTATTATCGCTTGTGTACCTTTCCGCATCAGGCCGCCATTGTTGGTGAATTCGTTATTCTTCCAGACGCCAGTCTCCTGCATCCAGCTCATGTTTGCACTCGGGTTGTTCTTCATCTGGTCGAAACTGCAGTGGAAAGCGATCTTCCGCACTTGCTCATCTGTCAGGTCCTTCTCTAGGTACGAGGCGATTTTCCGAATCGCCTTCGGTGTGTCCTACAACATAGACGCGCGGAGTAATATCGCTGACGGTGATATAGATTGCGACGATATGACAGCTCGTTTCGCGTCGACCTTTGACGAATTGCTGGACCTCTGGCCAAGCGTGGCAACCTATATCTGATTGCCCCCCCACGTTGTCCAACGTCGACGATCTACTGCGCTAGGCAGTGTAGCAGCAGGCTGTTGTGTCTACGCTTATCTGGCTGGTGTGTAAGACGACATCAGCTTGTAAGACGTCAAGTGTAACGTCAGACGTACTAGAAATTACAGTCATTTATACGAAGATGGGCGATTTTTGCTGTATGGGTAGCTGGACAGGAGGATTATATAGAATGATCATTTCAATCACGTATCATCCGCCTCGCACCACCGACGGGATAATAAGCACTGCGGTATTACGTGGGTTATAGGTGTTGCGCGACTGTCTATCACCTGTCACGGTACGGTGTCAGTGAACACGTGTGATGACAAGAGACCTGAACACCGATGACGGAGAGTTTTGTCGCATGTGATCTTGGTACACTTTCGAGCTGTAGACAAGCTAAAACACTTACAAGGCAAGAGCACTTTAAGAGAGTCGAGTTATGGCGATCATGCGTGTAGCATGACTGTAGTATTGATTCTCGCATGCGGGCGTGAAGCTACCATGTGGTTTTTTTCTCACAACAACTGGTATAGCTGCTCAAATCAGAAACGGTAATGTCAAACGGCGATAATGTATTAGCGTGTATGTGCAGCCTACCTGCAGCATTTCCTCGTATGTCATAAACAGGATATTCGGCTCATCTCGCCTCTTCCAAAAGCCCAACACGTGATACCAGAAACCGCCATATATAGCTGTAAACAAAAGCACAGAAATAGTTAATCTTATAGCACCGAGTGCACAGTCTTGTAATAACAAGAGATTCCGTTATTAATCAGCTGACGATATTCGCCATAAACTCACAATTCCAAGGATAAGTAAAGTAATACCGAGCGATTAATTATTGCTCGATATTCTTAACGTTCACTTGCAGACTGTATAATTTTAATAAAAACGAACGAACGCTCTGTTTTAATAGATCGTCAGCTAGCCTCCTCTTTTCTGAAGCACCGTTAATATATAGAGCGAACGAAAAACCAAATCTCATATCAAATAATATATTTATAGCAATACCTACATTTCTAAGCTGATCGAATTTTTGCATAAAGAATTACCGTATTTCTAGTATAAGAAAATTGTCCGTTTGCCCAAGTATTTTAACCACCGAAAGTCTGAAGACGGGTCTGTTTTTATCGACCTGTCTATCTCAACTTACTCCGAGTATAGCCGCGTCTAAACGTAGATACATTATAACAAGAGCTAATAATAGATTTTGATTATAACCAGTTAAGAGTTATGAGGGTGCACGAAGCAAACAATCCAGTTTTTCACAACAGCGAGTAGAAGCAAACCTCTGGAGAGTACAAGTTTTTTAAGATGTTTTTTTTTAAATCCCACATGTTGTGAAGCTTCGTGTGGACGCGGGTAATATTATACAACGTTGGATGGGCTCATTTCCCGTGGCTCCATCGTCATGTATAGAAGTGTACTTACCCCACTTATCTGCGAAGAGAGGGAAGAATTGACTGAACGTTCCTTTGAAATTTGTGGCGGTTAATAACCGCAAAAAGTGATAGACCGATACGGAAACGTCTTTAGGGTTTCTCGTCGTATAGACAACCTAAGGAGAAATTACAACGGGAGTTCATTAGCGATCACCATGAATATCTATTTAAATGTAAAACGCATTTAACGACGCTCTATATGTGACACGAGCGAGTAAATGTCCATCGGGTGATTCATTCAAGTGCATTAACGTGGGTCCGGGTATGCATATACGTATGCGAAAAGTATCACTGTCAACTGTAAGAATGGAAATGCAGTAGAATTTATACGTAATAAATACGCATAATGGTTTGCAGCTTGCCAATCTAGGTAGTTTAGAAAAGGGTGACCGAGTGTAAAATCGATTCGTTATTATTCATACAAACTGCTGAGACACACGCTATCAGGTAAATGTAGGCAAATCGCAGGAAATATTGCGCACGTTAATGATACATCAGAGAGAAAGAGAGCGAGGGAAGACACGCGCGATAAGATGGAAAAGGGAGGGGAAATAGAGAGGTGGTGCAGCAATATACTAGCCTTTGCACCCTTGCGCCAGATATCCGGAGGGCAAACGCCGTGTGGAAGATGAGTCTTGATGAATCGAGGTGATGGGGATTTAGCGATGGTCTTGATGCCGGGCACCGGCAACTCTAGGCAGGGAAACCGGTCCTCTAGATTCGTCGTTTTGGCCATCTCTGTGTCGGCTTCGTTGCATACGAGCCACACGATCTCCTGCGTCCACGTCGTGCCTGAAAGTCAACACATGTTACGTGGTGGTTACATTATACACATCCCGTCATCAGGGTGGTAAGAGAGAGACACAGAAGGCGCCCGTGCATGTGAGTGTGCGTGCATTTGAAGAAGTGTGAGAGAGAGAGGGGAAGGGAATGGAGAGACAGAGATAGAGAGGGAGGAGGCTGGAGAGACAGAGAGAGGGAGAGGGGGCATGGAGAAACAGAGCGAGATAGAGTGAGAGAGAGAGACAGAGAGACAGAGAGAGAGAGAGCGAGAGAGAGAGAGAGAGAGAGAGAGAGAGAGAGAGAGAGAGAGAGAGAGACAGACACAGAGGGGGAGACAGAGAGATTTTACCACTTTTACCAAAAATTGCAATGGTATATACAGAGCTCACATATGAATAATTAATTGCAACAAAAAAGCAAACTGTCGCAAATGTCTTCCCCGTTGGTTGTCAGACACTTGCATTTGCACCATCATGCGAGGTTGACACTTAATAGGCAAGCTGAATAGCATGCGTCCCAACCGCTGAGACGTTATAATACCTGGCACCGGTTTGTGCTGCAATTAAAATCAGTTCGCGCGAAGAAAAGCACAATGACTGAATAACCAGTACAGACCTGCCTTGGGGTACGTGATGACGCATTACATCGTCAAGGTCTAGCCTCGAACTTCAGGAACTGCTACACAGATGAGACTGTAGGCCTGCCGAGTAGAATGATCCTGGAAGATAAGGTAAAATAAATGTGTCAGTTCACAGACGACGTTTGTCGCACTGACGCACGCACACACACACACACACTACGCACGCACACCACGCACGCACTGCACGCACGCGCACACACACAATAAATATATATAGATAGATTATATACATATATATATTATATATATATATACAGTATATATGACGTCTAGGGAGTGCCCGAAACGGGCAATACACAGAGATAACTAGAGCACTCGAAAGACAGACCTCCGGCCAAGGCAGCTGAAATCTCTGCAATGTAAAATTTGTATGTAATTAATTAATTAATTAAGTTAAGTTAAAGTGATTAATATGGATCCGGAATCAACGGTTCTACACCCAGAAAATCGTAATAAATTCTATAGTTACTATATTTCCAACTTATTCTCGACCTAATCCTGCGTAAATTTATTTAATTAATTAAGTAATAGTTAATATGTAATTAATTTGATTCCGGATCACCACCAAATGTAATCAATTCTAAGTTACCCACTATTCTGCCTATCTGAAATTTAATTAATTAATTAATTAATTAATGTAATTATGTGATCCGGATCACCACGTCAAAATCTCATAATTTGCTATGTTAGCACCATTTCTGACGTATCCTGAAAATTTCATGACAATCCGTCCATAACTTTTTCAGTTAGGCTTAACCTGTATGATACAGGCGGTTCCGGCGCGGCGGCGGCGGCGGTGGCGGGCTAATCAGCCAATCAGTGAGCGTACACAAACACACAAACCCACAAACCAACACTCAAACACACGCCGGTGAAAACATAACCTCCGCAAAGCCCCTGGCGGAGGTAATAATGTAGTACAAATATCTATCGCTATAAAGTTCATAGATCATCTTTTGTTCAAATTCTTTAGTCTTCGTTCACTTTTTCTTTCATACTGTTTGATTCTCTTTATGTTGAAGCATTCACAAGTTGTATGCACAAGACATCTCCACTCCTGTCTGTTGTCTACAACATTCCTCCGCTTATCAAGAACATTACCACACCTCAGAGCACCTTTGCGGGTATCCTTATATCTCAATTTAGGGCAACCAACAGATTGGGATCCATTTGCTAGCTCGCTGTACAGGAGTGCCTTTGCTGGTCTGTCATTATCCATTCTACAGATGTGGCCAAACCAACACAGACGACTTCTAACTGATCCCATTTAATATGCATGATTAAGCGCAGGTGACGTTATTGTATTGTTCTCAGTTGTCGAACTTGATGATGGTACAGAATCCAGGTTTCATGCAGTACATCAGAAGTGGCATGAGACACTGGTTGTAGACTTTGACTTTAGTTTTTATTGTAAGGTCACGTGAGTTGAACACTCTGACGTAGTCGATTAAATGCACATGATGTTGCTTGGATACAAGCTGCAAGTTCCTCTTTCATAGAGCAGTCATTTGTTACATAGCTGCCAAGGTATTTGAAGCGAGTGACGTTCGCCAACTTGGTGTCAGCTATAAAGAACTCAGCTTCAGTACCAATGCACATGGTGTCTGTCTTTGCAGTGTTAATACGTAGTCCCATCTTCTTAGCAAGGCCGTTGTAAGCTGTGAGTAACAATGTAGTCCCGCTGAAGTGTCACTGAATATGGCTGTATCGTCTGCATATTGAGCCTCCCTGATGTACTCGGTAAGAACTTTGGTCTTTGACTTCAGTCTTCGAAGATAAAATATCCATCATAGCGAAATCTGACCTTTACACTGCAGGTGTGCTTGATGTTCTTATAAGCAAGACACAGTAAAACAGCTGCATAGATGCCATAGAGTGTTGGCGCTAGCTTACAACCCTGCTTGCCACCACTGTTGTACTCAAAGGCCTGTGTGAGTTCACCATCTACAATGAATCTTGCATGCACGTTCGTATATAGCTTCTTGATGATTCTTATGAACATTGCAGGGCAGCCCAGCTTACTCAGGATGATAAAGAGTAGCTCACGATTGACGATGTCAAACGCTTTAGTGAAGTCCACAAAAGCTATATACAATCTTCTGCGCTGTTCTCTTGTTTTCTCTATTACTTGTCGAAGGGTGAAGATTCCATCCACAGTACTTCTGCCCCTGCGGTACCCTGAGTGAGATTGTGGGTATATCTTCCTTGCAATGTGATGTAGTCTTAGCAAGATGACGTCTGCTAGGACTCTACCAACTACGCTTAGAAGTGATATACCTCTATAATTGCCGCACTGACTTCTGTCACTTTTCTTGAACAGGATGGTGAAGAGATCAATCAAGTCAGAGGGAATCTCCGACCAGGTTGTCCAGAAGATGTGAAAGAGTACAAGTAGAAAAGCTTTCAAACGAGCGCCGCCATGCACAATAACTTCAGGGAGTATTCCATCAGGGCCCGGACTTTTTCCTAATGTGGTGTTCTTGAGAGATTTATCTAGCTCTTCTTCTGAGATTGGATCATCGAAGGACGTAATAATTGGATCTTCCTCTATGTCATCCAAGATGCTTAAATCAACATCAGTTAGATATATATATATATATTTACATAATATGTAATTGTGCGTGCGTGCATGTGAGATTAGAGCTATTTATGGTAAAACGCATCTGCGTTGGAATTATTTCTGATATATTTATCTAACTGGACTAAACCTGATGCCTGTTATAAATTCCCTAAAGTAAAATCAACGGAAACCCACCATCCCAAATACCTAGTTGATAAAGATACATACACCGTATCCATCCCTTGTTAGATCTTAACCATTTTAAGCCGAAATCATGCTAAATTTGACACTGCACGAACTGTAACGGTAAACCGATTGCGGATATAATGCCGAATAGCAATATAAGCTTTCCCGATGGGCGAAACCCCTTATAGGCAACTCACGCATTTGAACATACGCGCATAATATATAGTCTGACAGCTACACTGGCAGCATACTAAGCATACCGGTAGCTTCATTCCACTCAGGTAGCTTCAAGACATTCTTAGTATATTCGCACAATATCAAACTGTAGAGCATTCGAATCAATCGTATATTTCGGACTTACTTGCATTACTTGCAGACAGTGGTGTGAGCACAGCGGGTGAAGTAATATAATCTAGCATATACCGACAGACAAAAGAAGGTGGCAGAGGAGAAAGCGATGCTGCATGTTCACGCATACTCACGGCTGTTGGGCATCCTGTACAGACGCAGGTCTCCGAGGTAGATCACCTCCTCTTTGTCTCGCTCCTCTCGGTAGACGGCATAGAGAAAGCTCAGCACGCCGAACTTCCACAGACCGACGCCCACGCCCAGCACCGCCACGGCGCCGGCGGCCCCATACAACACCGTCTCGCGATCCTTCGAGAGCCAACTGGACAATGTGCTCATGTCGAGGGCTTGTGACTACCCTAAAGGGAAGGCGACAAAAGAGAGATCGCGGGCTGTTATTTAGAGGGTAGAGAGGGAAACGCACACACATACGATATCCGAACGTGTTCGCTCGCTAATTATCTGATCGAAGCATTGTTTTACACTCGCCGGCGTGTCTGGTCTAGTGTGTGTGTGTGTGTGTGTGTGTGTGTGTGTGTGTGTGTGTGTGGTGTGTGTGTGTGTGTGTGTGTGTGTGTGCGTATGTGTGTGCGCGCGCGTGCGTGCGTGTGTGTGTCGTGTTTGTGTGTGTGTGCTGTGTGTGTGTGCGCGCACGCGTGTTTCGTGTACGTGTGTATGTGCACTCCGCTGTACGTGATTGACTTAAAGCCGGCTCACCGACGTACTGGTTGCGCAATGACAACTCAAAAGTGTCAGGATCACGGCCACACTGACACGCGATGAGCGAGAGATTCATGACCTGTCGCAGATACGTGGCTGCATGCGTTGCTCGCGTCCGCGTTCGAAATCACTCGATGACCATGAAGTACGTATGCGTGAGAGCCACGCGTGGCAATCAATCCGTGCCGTAACCGCGCGGTGCGTGCAAGCCCTGCTCATTAACTCCCTATGCACGAAGCTGCACGAATCGAGCCTTCATGTCGAGGGAAGGCGCACCCTTCACAAACACCTGTGCGCATTTCCATCGATCCTTAACGGATTAGAAGGCGCACAACGAGAGTATCAACACGATGGCGGTAACGTCATCTCATATCGGCCATGTTTGCTCAGATACTATATCGCTGCTATGAAATGAACGCTGCTACTGTTTGTCTACTAATATGTCTCCTCTCGGTATTACGAACGGAAAGCTGTCAACGTATAGTTTTGATATCCTGTCCCGATTTGATAGCGGTGAGAGGTGAGTGCCTTCCCAACGATCCAAGTTCAATGTTCGAGTGACGGTCGGGTAGACGGACGGTGAAGAGATGGAGGGCGAATACAGGCTTCGTGTCAGCCCGCATATGATGGATGGCGGAATTAACATCCCAGTGCAACGCAATTACTGCATTACAGCATTTTCGCTCGTAACAAGTCAGCGTCGTGGCGGTGGGTGCTTCCAGATGCACGCAGAGAGAGATACACACAGAAAAACAGATTTCACACTAAATTCTATACGATTGCCAGCGCCTTCAGCGATCCGTGTGAGGATAGCAGAAACTGGATACACACGCACACATGCACGCACGCCCACACGTACACACACACGTACACACACACACAGTACACACACACACGCAGCTGCAACGCACGCACGCACGCACGCAACGCACGCACACGCACGCACGCACACACGTACACACACACACACACACACAACACACACGCAGCACGCGCGCGCAGCGCGCGCAACGCACGCACGCATGCACGCACGGCACGGCACGCACGCAAGCACAACACACACACACACACACACACCACACACACACACACACACACACACACACACACACACACACAACTCACGCAGATTTACATATGTGTAACTGGCGGTCCCTTTGCGCAGTACTAAAGGGCGAATCTGCTT